AAATTTTTGTAAGAGAGGATCTGCTTTCACCCTGGAGTCTGTGCTCACTCTTCATTCCTACTTCATCTCCTAGTTTTCCAATGAAATCACAATGATTTCCAATGCCCTACAGCCGACAGGCAGTTTGTCAGCTGCCATCCCCTGCCAGTTGCCATTTCTATCGCTTTCTGAAGCAGAACCGGGGACTTGTCCCTCTGTCATCACCCCAGTCCCCTGCAGGGTGAAGTTAATTTGATTGGAACCATTTTTTCTTGTTGGTACCAAAATGGAGCAGTGTTTTTTATGTTGCCTGTATCATCTGGAGGGCAGGATAAGAGCATCTCCCAACAAGGTCCCCTGTGTCTGTCGAGTTTAGGTGCCTCAGTCCATGTGGGATCAGCAGCCTCGGATCCCCCCCAGGTTCTGGGCATCTACAGCTGTTCTGGCACCTTCAGAGCTTTGATCCCAGCAGTATCCTGCGAGATGGAACACTGAGATTTGAATCCCAGCCTGCAAAGGCACTGATCTGCATGTTGTACTTTCTGTTACCACAACTAACGTGAGGTATGAAAGACACATCCACTCCTCTTGAAGCCTTTTACAGGGAGGAAGGGGCTGAGCTCTGCGGGGGATTCACACACTCCGGGGCAACCTGTGTGCTCTCTGCTTGCCATTGGGGAGGGGGAAGGAGCTGGTACCTGCTCCCCTGAGCCCCAGACTGGTCTGAGCAAGTGAAGAAACAGCCTAGAGAACTTGTTGGTCAAAAAGTAAGATTTAGTGAATGTAATAATTCAAAGTGGTTAAATAGTCACTGAGCCAGGATTTGGGAATCAGAGCTTTGGACTTCAGCCAGTGTAAGTGTAGCTAAATCCTGCTTATGCCTAGTGCCTTCATGGATCTGACCCCTGCTTGGTTTGCCATATAGAGAATCATTATCACAGAAAAACCCCAACACTTTAAGCAGATGACTGCCTAAGCAACCTGTGCCACCTCATAGAAATGAAGAAAACCCACCAGGACATTCATGTTGAGATGGGAGGGCTCTGGGGAGATTTGCTGGCTCCTGGTGTCCCCCCGATGGGGCAGTGAAATGCCACACTGTGCTGTACTAACGCCCATGTGGCACTTGACAATTAATAGGGCTGGCAATTAATGCCAAACAAAAGATAGATCAGCAGAATATATGCATAGGCAATTTTGAAATTACACCTGTGCCTTCAGATGGACAAATGAATTGCTCCGGGAGTACTGAAACCAAACGTACCGGAGTGCGTGTGCACATTTATTTTTGCCCCAGGTTGTTCTGAAGGTCTTGTTCTAACACGTATCACAGATTTCTTCTCAGAGCACTGACAGGAACACCAGATAAGTATCCAAATTGCAACATGTTGTGCTCATAAAATTAAAGCTTATTATGTTGATTAATGCCTAACAAAATGCATGCAAATAAAAGGTGCAAGGCTCTCCTCACTGCTCCTAGTACCGCTGGAGTCCCACCGTAAGCATGGCCTGAGCTTTGTCACCTGACACTACAATATTTGTATTTCTTCTGCTTTCAGTAGTTTTGGGTTTTTAGCTCTGTTCCTCCACAGAAGGTTTTTTTTTTGCCAGCAGTCAGGTGACGACCTGTAAAACACTGAATAAAAGCCAGAAAACACTCGCTCAGCAGAAACCTTTTTGAGATGAACTTGACAGGCTCCTGGAGGAGGTATGAGGAGTGGGGCTCCTGTACTGGGAATATTCCTTAATTTGGGCTGTTCGTTTAGTATCTGGAATAGACAGGTCTAAGACAGGACTGTCACAGCCTGCAAGAGGTGCCAAAGGAGCTGCTGGCAATGCAGAGACAAGTGCCAGTTGATGGTGCAAGGATTTTAAGCATGAAGCAGATGGGTTTGCAGTAGGAGGGAGATGGGGACATCCTTGCAGATGTAATGAACACTGGCTCTTTGCATGGTCAGGGATGTCAGTGCAGGCTTATCTATACATTAGTCCTTCAGGAAGATCAGCCAGTTCCTCAGGCCCCCACAGAGACACTGGTCAGGAAAGAAAAGCTCTTCCTGGATTTTTTTTCTTGTCACACACTAACCACATTGGCTGAGAGCCTGGCATAAGGCAACGCAGTGAATCATGGCACAGATCTGCCTGGCACTTGGACGTTCAGGATTCCCGTTCCCACGGTCTCCCACTCAGTCTGTGTTTCTCAACCTTCTCCAGTGGGTGATGCCTTCCTCAGAGTGAGAAAACAAAACTCATGACTATAAAACAGAGAGAGAAATTCTTACTGCAGCGATACCCCTGGCTGGTTCCCTGTGCTGTGTTTAAGCAGAAGAGTCGAGAAACACAAGGGACAGAGAATGTGTTAGTGACCAGCAGCCACGTCAGGAGTTCTTACTGAGTGCAGTTCCCCATCGAGCTCGTTTCAGCAATCCAGCCACACTCAGTGAGCCTCAGCAGACGTG